CTTGGAGGAAGTCAATCTTGCAAGCTGAAGCAGGGAACTGCTAAGGCAGCTGCACCCGATACAACCATCACAAAACAAGAGACCTGAGAACTAGAAAGGCGAGGCTTCACCCCCCATTTATCCTCCGCCTTTCAACCAGACCCACATGTGATTATTGGCCAGGCTGGCACAATTAACTAACTCAGTACCAGTAGAACAATTCCTCCTAGATTAAATGTAAATGCTACCTTCAATCAGGTGACACAGAAACCGGACAAAATGTAGTGGGTATCGAGAACCGAAGTTTAAGACAAAGAAAAGAACTCAAGTTTAGAAAGTCTAAAGTGATGTGTGGAGCTGGAATTTTATTTGAAAAAAAACCGGGATACTGATCCACGATCAGACAAGGCAAACTAAAGCGAAAAAGAGCATGAGTTAAGTCGAAAATACAGCTGTAAAGACATGCATTTCTGGTTCATTCTTTCCGGGGTTTAGTCCTTGAAATCTGGACCCACGTGCAGGGGCTTCATCTTGGGCGGACCCTGCTCTTCGGTGGTTTCCACGGTCCCCAGGGGGCTATCCGAGCCTCTCGGTCCCCTTTCCAAATTGTGAAACGCCTCAGCGTCACCCCGCACTCCCGAGCCTTGCCATGTTACTTGGCTGTGCCCTTCTTGTGGCCCGGCAGACCTTCTTCTTTGGCAAGTGTGCTGTGCCGCTTCCCTAGTTGGCAGTGTGCAGACGGGGCTGAGTTTCCTAGCCTCACCTTCACGGAGGGAAGTGTCTATTTCCTGTTAATCCCTGTGTCTGTCCTGGTTACCCACGACGTGTAGTTTTCCTTTCCTGGGCTCGGGTTGTCCTGCTGTTTATTGTGGCATCATCTCCTCCTTGGCTGCTTGCAGTTTGCCTGTGGGCTATTATTGTGGAAGCAATGGAGTCATTAATTTTTAATATTCATGGTGCTGTGTCGTCTCTGGTCTATTGCAAAATGTTTTAGAAGGTAAGCATCATGAAGTGTTGCTGATTTTTCTGAGTTTTCATATGCTATCCTTTTTAACAATCCTATGACCGTTTCTTTTCCTGAGTCAATATTGCGTGATACGGAATGCCACTGTGTCCCAGCAGTGGAGGACCGGGAGTAGGGGACAGGAAAGGTACGTTAGCCTGGCAGGCTTTGCAGTCATCCATATCCTGCCACAGAGGCCAGTGCCCTGGTGTGAATGTGGCTCCTTCCATGATGCTCTGTGAGGCCCACCACCTCTTCTCTGAACGAAAAGCGGCCCACGTGCTCGCTCTGGTTCCCTGGCAGGCCTGGCTGT